CAGTGTAACAAATGACCTTCTCCTTTGAGTAATTAAGCAACGTACAGCATTGCTTTAAAGAAAAGTGTTCTGTGTCGTATTTGTAATTCATTACTTTTTCTGAGTAACCACCCCAACACTGATCACAACAAAGAGAGGAAATACCTCCAACATGTACAGACATTTGCCTACACAGCATAATTTAATGAATGTAATCTCTTTGATATGCTGCTTAGTGATGGTTGTAACTCTCAAAGCAGAGCCAACGAGAACCCAGTGAGAATCAGTAAAACAATCCATAAAGAATAGAATCAATAACTGATGTTGATAGAATCAGAATCGCTAAATTCTTATCAATTCCCTTCCCTACTTATATCCTTCCCTAGGAAGTCTAAACACCGAAGGCACCATCCAACTTCTAGTGACTGCATGCTTACATACCAATGTTCGGTATACTCACTTTTGCAGAAATTAGTCTTCTGTCAGTGTTTCTAACTTCCAGGGTATTTTAGCCACATACCATAATAACACATAGCATGGTACTATTTTTAAAATAACCTGTCTTTTTTTGTATAAGACTGTTGTCATAACGACCTCCACAAATACTGGCTACACCTAAACTGCTTTATCTTTTTCTTCTTAGTGGAAAAACAAAGGAAACACTGTAACATATTCAGCAGTATATTCAACACATTAAAAGCACTTCATTTTCAAACAGCTTGACCACTTTAATAAAATTTCTGTCTAAGAAAATGTAACAAAGTCAACTTCAGCACATCCGTTTTGTGAAGCTTAGTTTTAGCAATATATTCTGGAAAACTGGCATGCTTGTCAGCTGTCCCCTGTACACCACTGACTGTCTGACTACAGCGATGATCGGAGCCGTGTGGTTCATGCTTGGTACAGTGACAGGATGTTAACAGACAGTGAAGGAGTAACAGGCAGAGAGAAAGGAGGCTAAGTTAGGAGCCTGAGGCTTCTAAACACTGCTGGGAAAGAGGATGAAGAACCAAGACAAAACAAACGCAACGCTGATGAGACTGAACTTGGGGGGTGGGGGACAGGGGCTGCAGGACCGTATCTGATCTGTCTGTTACCACAGCAACAAGCATCTTCATATGCTGTCTGATTAAGTGAGTTGACGAGTGCTAGAACTGCCACATGAAGGCAAGAATATTCTCATCTGTGAAGCCCTGTGAGTGTTAACACTCAGCTTGGTTTGTGCGCAGGAGTTTGTCTGGTATTCTTTTCTAGAAGTGCAGCAAATCTGTGACACTGCATGTACAAGAGGGGACGCAGTGCTCTGCGCAACTTTTTCAAGTCAAGTTCTTACAAAAGAGCCACAGTGTAACCAATCAGAAACCACAAATACTGTCAGTTGAACCACAACATTAACATTAACAATCCCAGTACAGCTTTATGTTTTAACTCTTTCAAATGGCTGAAATCAAATCACTTTAGACAAGTAGAAAACAGAACATCTCCTGTTTCTCAAATGTGAGAACTTTTTTCTATTACATCTTTGTGACACAGAAGGATATGTATGGTTTCTGGACTGTTGCCTAGGTGAAACTACTAGTCTAAAGAATCATATCAGCTCTGCAAATTCTGACTGATTTGTTAGACTATGAATTATAGCAGAACTGTATTTTAGTGATGCTCTATGGCTACTACAGGCAGCAGAGACACAGATATAGAAAGTGCTGTGCAATCAATTTTTTTTACCCTAAAATCTTCATTTGTAAAAATGTTTGTGGTGGGGCGTGGTCTGCCCGTAATCACGCCCGCTGGGTTAAAACACGGGGACTCAGGTGTGTGTGGTGTTGTTGTGGTGAGTAGGGCAATAAAGATGGCTCTGAATGATGATCTGTGGTCCCGCCGTGCCTTATTCTCACCACAATGTTCATTACATATTATTTGAGATGTAATGTCTATTGCACAGTACATTTGACATATGTATTTACTGGCTATGTGACCGAAAATCTGATTCAGCAATATTATCAAGTTGCTTACTCAATTGCTTATAATTAGCAAAACCCTGCAACCTTCTGCAGTGTTTATCTTTTGAAGTGTTCAGTGCCAGCCCTACGTTTCCCTGCTATTAGATTATTTTTCCCTCCACCATTAGGCTAAGCACTGCTAAATCCATGTTAAAAAGGGGAAGGACTAATCATTATGGAAACAGACATAAACACCAAAAATGAGAGTTTGCTAGCTTAATATTTTGCACAATGCATTTTGATAATAACTAGCATCGGAGCTCAGGGAATTCATGTGTTTTTTAAACCTGGGTATTTGAACACATATGCTCTAACGTTCCCCACACATTTTTCACATCCACACCAGTGGCGTTCCATCAGGACAAGCAAGGCTGTGCTTGTCTAGTATAAAAAATAAAAAGAGACATCAGTTAAAATCAAAGTGAAAATGTGTTTCCATAATGATCTTAAACACCACAGTCATAAGGTTTCTCACCTGTTTGCAACTATTCTTTATATTATTGCCACCTTGTGGTCACAACTCTTAGCTAATGCCAATGCTCCCCATTTCTCACAAAAACATGACAAAATATCGGTGCTTGGGAAGAAGAGAAAACATATGGACACATTATATATTTAATGTCAAGGGAAATGAGACGCTTTATGAAACGTGTGCAGGAACTATCAGTAAAAACACGACAAGCTAAGACGTTATATTTTTATTCAGCTGAATCAACTTTAGTTTTGTCTGTGACAGGCTTGTGCAATTTAGTTGACTAGACTGAAACTAAAAGAATTTAGATGATTAAATTATTAAATTATGATTGCACCTAAATAACATGTTAGCAAAAACACTATTAAAACTACATCAAAATTTGTGTCAAAATTAACAATGCTGTGGAAACAGAGCTAGCATTAGAAAGAAAAGGAGCTTCTGTGAATTATCATTGTAACAAATAGGTTTTCTCTTACTGGTCATCTTGGCCAACATGTTTAATGTAGAATAGTTAAAGTGCAATGTCAGAACGTTTTCATTAATTCCATTAGCACGTGAGGAAAGAAAACCCTGATAATGGACAGATGGCTTCGGCTCCTACAATCTCTGCTTTAATAAAACAAGCAAGTTGATCTGCTGCAGGCTCAGCCAGAACTTTCAAAATAGTTGAGAAGCTGAGAAATCACTTGGTTGAATAAATTTACAAAGTTTAACCAGCTGTTTTGCTAATACACCACCTTCACCCTGTCTTTCAGCTGTGATTTGATTTATTTTTAATATATCTAATTATATATTATCCATCCATCCATTCGCTTCCGCTTATCCTTTCCAGGGTCGCGGGGGGCGCTGGAGCCTATCCCAGCTGTCATAGGGCGAGAGGCGATATATTATATACCTCTTTTTTTTTTTTTTAAATCAATGCATAGCCCTGCTTTTCTGAGTTTTTTAACATATAGATGAGGTAGGATGTTAAATATAGCAGCTGGGATTGGCTCTAGCCCCACCCGTAACCCTGATAAGGATAAGTGGAAGAGAATGCATGGATATGTTTAGATAGTTGTCGTTAAATAATTATAGATCAGTGCATAAATATGTATATATATCAACGTAACAAGGGACTGCATATGTATATATTAGGCTGTAACCAGAACAAAAATATATCATGAAGTAATTAGAAGTAGGAATTAATACGAGTACGCATCCTCCTAATGATTGGAGGAATGGCTTTTAATGATTTTCTTTTAACTGTAAAGCAGACATCTTTAATGACTAAAAAACAAGAATTGCTGCACAACATAACATTTATTTTGGATTTTTTTAATCCTCACATGATCAAAAGGACAAACACAGTCTAAAGTACAAACACACACCCTCACTAACATCAGGCTAAGTGTCACCTTGACCAGATGTTTTTGGTAGCCATCAAAAAGTTTCTTGCTGGGTTTTAAACTCTGTGCCTCAGCATCCACAGACCTCGTTTTGTGATTTTTATAATATCACAAAATATCTCTACCAAATGAGGAATATTTAGTAGCAAGGACATTTCACGACTGGACTTGTTGCACAGGTCACATCCTACCACAGTATCATGCTGGAGTTCACTGAGCTCCTGAGAGCGACCTATGCCTATTATTGGTATATTTTTGGGGACAATATGATCTTTTCTTCTATGAACTAAACAAATAGAATGACTGACTGTACCTTTAAAATAAAAGATTTAAAATTGATATCTTCAAAGTGGCCTGTTTACAGTACTACAATGCTTTATTAGGTTTACATCTAACCCTTGTGTTGCATTAAAGATGTAGCACATGCAGCCTATTCACAGAATCTACATTATTAGGCATTTCAGCATCTGTTATGCAAACACTCTTTTATGTGTTCAGTGCATCCACAGGCTAAGAAATAATAATCTAAAAGACTTATCCATTTGCATTCATTATTTTGCATCTTTGAGGGTTGATCTGTTCAGTTTGTTTCTATTTCTGCTCAATTTGTTTTTCCATTTCATCCATTTGTGTCTCATTGTACCTCTGTACTTTTGTCATAGTTGTTTTGACTGCATTGTGCCTTTTTCAGTCGTTTTTTTATGTGAGTCTTAGTTCCAGTTTGCTTTGCCTGTCTTTGGTATTTTCTTTTACATGTCTTTGTATTAAGTGTGCATCTCTTTAGAAATGTTTTTCATATTTTTATGTTAAACCTGTTTCTTTTATTTCTGAGACATAAAGAAAAGCAGAATCATTTTTGTTACTTTGTCTGCCTTTGAGTTTGAGTTTGTGAATGTCAAGAGACAGTCATTTGTATCAATTTGTGTTAAGTGTGCATCTTTCTTCAGCTCAAGAACAATTAGAAATCTTGGATTTCCATCGACAAGTGTAGCGCAATTCCTTCAAAGACTGTCAAAAAGTCTATATAAGAAGGTAATAATATTTCACACATACGCAACAAAGGTATGACTTTGTACTTGTACTGTCTATTCAGTTATTGTTTCACACTGGCTTTACACTGAACCGCCTGAATAATGCATGATGTCAGTTGCTTCTTACCGTTGACAGTTAGATGCACCCAGCTGCCGTTGTGGAAGGTGTCATACTGCTGCTCCAACATCAGCACCTTACACTCATACCAGCCGTGGTCGTCTGAACGCACATCCTCTATCCGCAGGGAGGACTTGCCATGCAGACTGGCCCGGCCTGGCCAAGAGGCGAAGCGGGAAGAGGACACGGAGGCGAGAAGGATGGTTGGATTGAATTTCATAAGGAAAATGAAGGAAAGGAAAGAAGGTGAGAGGTGAATGAAGAGAAGAGAGAAGAGGAACACCGAATGAATGTTAAAGCAACATCAGCCTTTGAACGACTCAGATATAAATATGCAGGGATCACATAGTGCTGACACTGACGTTCTCTATACTTTAGTTTAGAGCCATTTCTAAACAAAGATACTAAAGCACTGTTAATCTGCAAAATAACATGGCAGCAGAGCAACAAGTGCAATAGCTGTGTCTATCACTTACAGGCACAGCTAAAATTGTTGCTCCCACTAAATTGCCAGTTTTCAGCCAGCTCCCAGATGTTGGGAGTCACCTCCTTCTACTGGATCTGCACTATGAACGTGCTCCTTTCATTTGATTGCAGAGTGTCACAAAGACATAAGCTTTCTTCACAAAAACTGACTTGTACGGTTTCCACATTTTTTGACAGCTGAAATATTTTCATTTGCTTACAAACTGTTAAGCAAGTTTTGAAAATGTAAAATAGATCAAATTTTAGTCTGTCTGACATTTTCACACACTCTCCAAAATCATCCCAAGCAGGTATTCATTCATTCAATCATTCATTCATTTGGCACATCAGCACTCTTCATATCCATCTTCTGGGTTTTAAGTTTGCTTAGTCTTTTGTTCTTTTCTTGCAGGTTATTGAGATACTAAAGTTTAGTTTGGAGAGTCTTTGGGTTTTGTTATGTTTCTAGTTCTTGTTTAATTTCGTTCCCTTCTGTGCCCGCTCTGTCTTAGTCTCTCCTTGCTGTGTCCTCCCCTTCATCCCCGGTGTGTTGTCTATAATGATGCTCTTTTTCTGTTCCCTTCTCGCTCCCTCTCTGCATCTGTCTCCCTCTCTGTCTTACTTGTCCCTCACTCTCCAGCTCACTCTCTGTTGTCTCAGCTTCCTGGCTCTCTCATTCTTTCAGCTTTGTCATGTCCGTCTGCCATGTGTCTGCTATTGTATTCCCACGTCAAGCTGTGTGTCTGAGTCTGCGTCTCTTTTTCCTACTTCCTGTTTTATTCTGATAGTCACATGTCCTGTGTGCATCATGTTGAGTTTTGCTTCCCCTGTCTCGTCAGTTAGATTATGTCCAGCTGTGTCCCCCAAGTGTTTCCTCTTTGCCCTGATTCACTGTGTGTATTTATTGTCTGCATTTCCTTCTGTTCCTTGTCATGATCTCTCTCAATGCTGTGTGTTCTGCCAGCCTAGTGTCTTCTCAGTTTTAGTCTTGTTATCTGTAAACCCACCAATAAAGCTGCCTTCAAGTTTAATTCTGTCTCAGTCCTGCATTTTGGGTCCTATCCTGCCGGCCTCACAGTGCGTCATGACACCTTCACTACATCCATGAATCTTCTCTGTGGCCTTTCTCTGTTCCTCCTGCCTGGTCTCTCCATATTCAACATCCTTTGTCCAATATATCCACTATTTCTCTTCTGCACACCAGCTCCACCTTGCACTAACTTTGTTATCAGATCGCCCAGCTTGAGCTCTTCTTCTCATGTACTCATTTCTAATCCTGTCAACCCCGCTCAATCCCAATCTTAGCATCTTCAGCTCTGCTGCCTCCAGCTCCAGCTTCGGTCTTTATGTTAGTACCACTGTCAGTGGTACAGATGAGCAGGTCTCAATTGTAACTCTTCCATTTCACTTGTGCTGCTATTTAATCTCATCTACTATATAGCTTTAAACTCAAATACCTCTACTCCTTGCATTACACCGCTTAGCTCTTGCTACTCTCTGCCTGTCATTTACATAAATGTTTCACTCAAATAAAATAAGTTACAGTAGCATTGTCCAATCCAAGCTCTCTTTGTCTATTTCACCCTTTTGAAAGACATTTCAAATAGCTCAATCTCTGATACAATTCCTCATGATCTCATTGCGCTTCAGCCTTAGCACAGTGGTATGGTGTTTGGCACTGTCACCTCACAATGAGAAGGTTCTGGGTTCAAACCTAGTCTGGGGTGTTTGTTTGTAGACTTCTGTTTATGTGCTCTTCTTGTCTGTGTGTGTTCTCTCTGGGTACTCTGGCGTTCTCCCACAGTCCAAAGACATGCATGGCGTTGCCCATAAAATGGCTGTCTATCTCTCAGTATTAGCCGTTACAGACTGGCATCCTATCCAGCCTGCCTCTCGCCCTATCACAGCTGGCATAGGCTCCAGTCTGGATTCAGGAGAAGGGGAATTAATTTAAAACTCAGCTTTAATGCTGGTAACTTGCACGGGGAAAAAAAAGTCCAGAACATTTGCAACATTTGTTTTTCTTTGAGGAATATCAAAGTTTGTGGCATGATGCTTTTTGTGCAATCTTTGGCACTCTGTCATGTGTAGAATTATTATTAACAGGTCATGGTGCTAAATATTTTGGTAATTTTTACAGATATGTACAAAATGTAGATTTGTCCTGCCAATTAAAGTGAGTTACAAACTTCTTAATAATTTCTGGTAATTAATAATGAATGCAGCAATTTGGGGATAAATCAAACTCAGTGTGAGCTGTCATTTTCAAAAGATCCTCATTAAAAAATTAATATTTAGATGTTTTTAAACTGCTGCCAAACCTTTTAAAGCAGAGCAGAAATTAGGTTAATTAAGCAAGATTAATGCAATTAAAATTCTGTCTACTCTATGTCCCTATATAGTGCACGGTCTATTTTCATGTTAACTAAAGTAACCAAAGTGAATTATATAAGATGTACTATGCAACATTTTCTTCATTATGTGCAGTATTTACAGAGTCAGTGCAATTTACAACCCCCATACAGTAAGGTATGACTAACATGACATACATATATATTTTGTACACTTGTGGAACACAACAATAAAAGGTAAACTGTAACAAAAGAGAGGAAAGTTAAGTAAGGTGATTTTTGCCATGGCAATGAGGCTTAATGGTGTCATGTAGAAAAACTATCTGGTTATTCTGTTGCAATTTATATCCTACATATAGTGTATATTTAAATGAGTCATACTCAGGCACATTCACCACAGTGCCAACCACTTCCCTGATTTTTCTTGTGTTTGTCAGATACAAAATCCTTAATTTTCACTACATGCGCAGAAATGTCAAATCAGACTCATGGTTAAAGTGTAAAGCATGCACAGGACATCCGGCTGACTACACTAGAAGACGAACACTTCTAGTGAAGACGATGAACACTTTGTTCATTCAAAAGAGAATAATGGTGCCATACAGAGGCCTTACTGTGGCTGAAGCATGTTTTTATCAGAGCCATCTTTATGCCAGGCTTTTACATTTGATGCATGGATGATGTCATCACCATGCAACCCTGCTCTGGCAGATTGTCTTCTGAAACAGTAACGAGGAACTCCATGCCTCCACAGGGCCATGGTTTGCAGTAGTACACCCAGCCCCTGCATATTTAAGCAGCAAACCATGTATAAAAGTACTTCTGATTATTTTAAGGCAGAATTGTCTAATTAGGTTTTGCTCTCTTATGGCCTGGGAAGCAGTGATGGAGTGAGAGAGGAAGTGGAATTTTCCTGTGAAATCTTTTAATTCCAGTCTGGTTGCCTCTCAGGCAAAAATAGTCTGAGGGAGAACCCAAAGTGGCAATCGGGTGTAACCTGTGAAGGTAAATCACATGTCAAAAACCACGAGGAACAATATTTCAGTAGTTAATGGAGAACACGGTTAGCAGGTAAATTCCAGGTTACTCTATTGGACATTGCTTTTAATGAATTTACATTTTTTAGGATTTTAATATGAAATAGAAAGATGGATTATTTCTTTCTTCTTAACTTCCTAGCAAAGTTATATTGAAAACATAGTCCTTCCCTCACTCATCCTATGTATGTTAATCAATCTGCAATAAGCTTACAATATAAACTGGCACCAGGATTAACAGATTTTATCTATATAGATTTTAGAAGTTAGTAAGCTTTTCAAACACTTACAAATCCTTACAGATTATATATGTGTAGTGACTGATTTCAAAATAAAATATCAAATGCTTGAAAATGCCACAGCGGAAAAATTTCAAGAAGATAGCTGGGACATGCTTTCCAGTTATAAAAGTTTGACTCATGAAGCTATATTAAAACAAACTTGATGTTAGCTAAGTTTCCAACACCAGTGACATACGAGTTAGTCAACTTTACCAGATTCATGAGTCGCAAATACCAATCATGGAAACGCCATGTAAATCAGCTCTGGTGTTGTTTTGTATGACATTCTTTTTGTGCCACTATTCTAAGCACATGTAAAAAAAAAATTGCAGGTGCAAGTGTTGCATTTTGAGCAGAAATTTATTTTTAAAAAAATGTTAGACCACTTTTGCAAATATGTGATGTCTTGATAAATCGAGCAGATATTTGAAGTTTACACAGCACCATTCTCGCATGAAAATATCTTAAAAGTTTATTTTGTGACCCAGAAAGAGTAATATTTCAAACTCTGCCACTCTGTGTTCCTCCGCCACTGCCTCGTTTGAGTTTTGGACGAAATGGATTCTGAGATATTGCATTTCATCATTTCGAGATGATTGGAGACCAAATCATCCAATCAGAGTTTTTTGCATCCAAGTCTGTGATTGGCTGGTTTTGTGGCACAAATATAACGGTGTACAGAAAGAGTTGAACGTGCACGGGCAGAAATGTTGAGAGCGCGAGCAACACATTGCGAGCGAGCGCAAATGCAAAAGCTGAGCGAGAGGGGCTGCTTTTGTGTGTGTGTGGATAATAGCAAACACTGAAATACATTTTTTGCACGCAGCTATGAGTTTTGTTCACTCAAATTCAGCTTTTCTTCGCTCAAAATTAATTTCTCCACTAAATGCAACACTTGCACCTGCAAATTTGTTTTACGTGCGCTCAGAATAGTGGCACAAAAATAACGCCATAGTTTTGCTGCCAGTTGTACAGTTGCATGTGGATGAAATAGCAAAGAAGGAGGACGACCTCCAAAGTCC